CCACAAGCCGTGAGACGTGTATTCCACAAATATTTATTCAGTTCTCCGCGTGCCGACTCTGGGCGGACCTGGGCTCTGTAGAGAAGCAGGGAGCAGCGCAGGCCTGGCCCTGTCTCTGCCTCTCACGAGTAGACATTCTGGTTCCTTCGCTCATTCATCACAGAGGCATGGGACTTGCCTCAAGTAGCACAGCTGATAAATGCTTTGGCTGGGGCTCACGCTGGCTTTTCTGGCTTTTCTAGAGGTCCCTGCCCAGCCAGTGGCCCTCTGTGCTCGTCACCTCTGGAGGGGCAGATGGAAGTGCTGAGCATTCATTCCAAGGAGGGATGTGAGTGAGTGAGTCCCAGCTTCCTTGCCTCCCGGGGTAGAACTGGGGAGTGGGGGCCGGCTCCGTGGGCCCCTAGGGGGCGTGAGCCGGCCTCCTGTCTCCCCGCCTACTCACTAATGCTCACTATATTGGCCGCCCCCTCCATCAACCTTCTCACTTTCCTACTGGTGCTCCTTGGGACCATCTCCTCCCAAAATGACTTCTCCCCAAGTCCTTGTCTCAGAATCTGCTTTTCAGGAAACGCACCTGAGAGAGCTGGTCATTGGCCACATGGTGGAGAACCAGAGGGAGCATCGGCTAGGGCTATGGGTCCAGCTGCTCTTCAGCACAGCGATTTTCAACCGTTTCCATTGCACTGCACACATAAACTAATTACTAAAATTCTGTGGCACACCCAAAAATACATATTTTGCCTAGCTGACAAAGAGGTATAATTTTGATTCATTCTCACTGGATGGCTGCTGTTGTGTTGGCTGTTGTCAGTTTTTTTTATGTAACTATCTAAGGGAAACGAGGTCAGCACCCTTACTAAATAGCCAGGTACTGCATGTTTTAAAAATTCTTGCGGCACCCCAGTGCGCTGCAGCACACCGGTTGAAAATCGCTGCTCCAGGACAGCTAGCCATGCAGCCCGCTCGCTTTCAGAAGGGTCTGCAGAGAGCAGGGGGCCTTGCTGCGGCCTTGGCCAGGGCCTGGCTGCCCTCCCCAGCCCTGGGTCCCTCCAGTGGCCCCAGGCACCTAGGGAAGGAGGGCTAAGTTTCAGTAGGACCACATGTTGGTCCTGGCCCCAGGAAGAGGGGATCCATCCACCTAGGGGAGTCAGGTAACGCCCAGGGCAGGAATCTTCCAGAGCATCCCTCGGATGCCCCACTGCCCCTCCGTGTCCCGAGCACCCCAAACACCCAGCTCTGGCCCCACAGGGATATGGGCAACTCACAAGCACCAAGGCTGGATGGGCTTCCCTGAAGGTCTCTGAAGCTGCCAGCCTGCACTCTGCTCCTATGGCCTCTGGGTCTGTGGGACCTTTGCAGGGCCGGTTAGGCTGCCCTGGGGTTCAGTGCTGGGACCACAGGGCCCAGGGCAGTGTTGGATCAGGAGTCTGGGGTGCAGGTGGCAGAGCCCCTCAGAGGGCCAGAGAGATGCTGCAGACCTGGATTCGAACAGCCATGGACGCTTCAAGTCTATCCTGGCTGTGAATGCTCCCAAACTCTACATTAATAACCACAGCAATGGGAAAGATGACCGCGTTTCCTTCCTTGGGGAGGGTCTTTACAGAGGGAGTCAAGTCTTAATGAGGTCATTAGGGTTGGCTTAATCCAACATGACTGGTGCTTTTACAAAAGGGGGAATTTAGACGCACAGGCAGACATGCATAGGGGAAGATTATGTGAAGAGACCCAGGGAGAAGACGGCCTCCTGCCAGCCAAGCAGAGAGGCCCAGGCAGATCCTTCCCTCGTGGCCTCAGCAGGAACCAGCCCTGCTGAGACTGGACCTGCAGCCTCCAGAACGTGAGACAGTGAGACAGTAAGTTTCTGTCTTTTAAGCTCCCCTTCTAAGCTCTGGGGTGCTCTGTGCCAGCAGCCCTACCAAACTGATACACAGCTTTATTGAGCTATACAGTTGACCATTGAGCAGTGCAGGTTTGAACTGCACCGGTCCACTTATATGCAGATTTTTTTCAATAAACATTGGAAATTTTTTTAGAGATTTGCAATAATTTGAAAAAACTCAAACTGTGTAGCCCAGAAATATTTTTTAAAATTTAGAAAAAGTTAGGTATGTCATAAAATCATAAAATATATCTATATATTAGTCTATTTTATTACTACCATAAAATATACACAAATCTACTATAAAAAGCTAAAATTTATCAACATTTGCACACAAAACCACAGACCCTACAAGGCACTGTTCATAGTGAGGAGAAGCGTAAGCAAGCGTAAAGATGAGCATTAGGCCATCGCTGCGCAAAATCAGCTGTGGCACGAGCTGCGCTGCTGGAATCACTTCGTCGCCACCTCCTGTTGCTGCCTCAGGGAGCTCGTGTTGAGATTATCTGCTTAAACACCGTGCCACACTGATCATCTCCATGTGAGCATTTTGTCTTTCCAGTAAATTGCACGTTGCAGTAAAAAGTGATCTCCCCCGCTTCGTGTGTATTTTTCATTGTGCTGTGCAGCACTGTAAACCTCGCGTTCCTCCGTGGACCCGTACAAAGTGCCACTAGTGATGCCAGATGTGTTCCCAAGAAGCAGAGAAAAGTCAGAACATTACAGGAAAAGCCGAGCTGCTTGATAAGTCCCATAGATGAGGTCTGCAGCTCTGGTTGCCCAGCAGTTCAAGAAAAATGACTTTGGCCTAAGGACCACGGTAAGAAAGAGGAGGGCACTCGTGAAGTCACTGCAGCAGCTCCGCGAGCAGGCACAGAAACCTGGCACTTTCTGCAAAATACCTTTTAATCTCGTATTGAAAATGCGGCTTTTATGTGGGTGTAGGATTGCTATAAAAAGGCATACCTGTAGACTAATATGATTTGAGAAAAAGTGAAGTCATTATATGACAACGTAAAGCAAAAGGAAGGCATTTCCTGGCATTACGTTCTTGTAATGTAAGCCAAACAGGTTTGGCTTAAAAATGTCAAGATAGTAGGAGAAGCAGCTCCTGCTGACCAAGGGGCAGCAGATGAGTTCCTAGACGCCATTAAGAAAATCATTAAGGAGAAACAGTGTCTTCCTGAATAGGTTTTTAATGAAAGTGCCCGATTCGGGGGGTGGGGGGGGTGGTGGAATGCCACATCAGACATCTATTAATGAGGCCGAGAAGCGAGCACCCAGACTGAAGGTAGGAAAGAACAGGCTAAGCCTACTGTTTTCTGCAAATGTAGGTGAGTTTATGATCAGGGCTGCCCTTATCTATAAATCTGCTAACCCCTGAGCCTTGAAGGGAACAGGTAAATATCAGTGGCCAGTCTTTTGGCAGGAAGGCCTGGACCACGAGAGCTCTTTTTCTGGATTGGTTCCATCAGTGCTTTGTCCCTGAAGTCAGGAAGTGCTTTGCCAGTAAGGGACTCCCTTTTCAAGTTCTTTGGACATCGGACAATGCCCCTGGCCACCCAGAACCCTATGAGTTCAACACCGATGGCATCAAAGTGGCCTACTTACCCCAAGCACAATGTTCCTAAATCAGCCTCTAGACCAAGGGTCATAGGACCTCTCAGGCTCATTACACGCGATACTCTGTGGAAAGGATTAGGACTGTCGAGACTATGGAAGAGAACCCCAGCAGAGAGAACACCGTGAGAGTCCAGAAGGATCACACCACTGAAGATGCCATTGTTCTGAGGAGCTCTGGAACGTCAGCGACGAGTCAGTGATCGGCTGCCTCCTGCCCTGCCCCAGTGGGGGTGCAGCCTGCAGCCCAGGCGTGTGCCCTGACCAGAAATCAAGCCATGACCCCCTGGGTCCTAGGTCAACGCTCGGCTGCTGACCTGCACTGGCTGGGCTGGGGACGTTTTTAAAGGAATGAAAAAGCAAAGAAGTGGGACAGAAATTACGATGTATTTCCATAAAGTTACACTGAGCGTGCCTGCCTCTCCCCCGCCCCCTCCCCAGCCCACCGCACGCCGGAGGGCGACGCAGGTGGGCCACTGCCTCGCGCCCAGGCCGCAGGGCCGGCGCCCACCGCTGCGGGCGCGTCTGTGTGGAAGCCTAGTAACTGTAGCAAGAACTGCGGGAGCTGCTTTGTGTCACTGTTCTCGTCTTCGCCTAAGGATTCATAATGCAGAGCGTTGTGTGTAAGACTGGTGTGGAAGTGGATAGCGTGTTTTTACTTAGACATAAGGAGAGTGATATTTAACACAGAATTAATGTGTTAATTTTCTTATTGTTTTATAACTTTGCTTCCAAAGAATTATATTACTGTATAGTGTCCCCCTCTGTCTCACTCATCATTGGGGAAACTTCGATCAGCCTGTCATCACAGAGAAGTGATTTTTAAAAATGTCACAATGTTTCCAGTGCTGTATTATGAATACGACTGTAATGCTGTATGCCATAACATTTTGTAACCATTCATTAGTGCGTAGGCTAAGCTATCATGAAGCAATCATATTGCTGCTGCTTTGTTAGCAATGTATGAATCGTTAGTGCCTCTAAATAAATGTGAATTTCTTTTTCACTTTATCTTTTCATTTTTTTATGCCTAGTGTTAGTAACATGTATAGCATTTATAGTGTTTTGAATCAGATAAGACATTATATTGATGTAGGTACTGATAGAGAAACGATTCATCTTATAAACAGATGACAAACTTATAGTATTGATACAGTACAGTACTGTAGATGTATTTTATCTTTCTTATGATTTTCTTAATAATATTTTCTTTTCTCTAGCTTACTTTATTGTAAGTATGCAGCATAAAATACATATAACATATAAAATATGTGTTAATCGACTGTTTATGCTACTGGTAAGCCTCCCAGTCAACATTAGGCTATTTGCAGTTAAGTTTCGAGGGAATCGAGTTATACTCAGAGTTCTGACTGCACAGGGCAGGGGTGGGTGCGTGTTGGTGCATGTTTGTTCGAGGGTCAACTGTAATTCCCATATCAAAAAATTCACTCATTTCAAGTGTACAATTCAGTGCTTTTTATTCTATTCATAGAGTTGTGTGACTGGCACCATGATCTGACTACAGGGCACGGTCTGCACTCCAAAAGCAGTCAGTCTCCAACCTCTTTGCCCCCCGCCCCCAACACCTGCTAAGTCTACTTTCTACCTCCGTTGGTTTGCCTGTTCTGGACATTTCATAGGTATGGAATCATACACGATGTGGTCTTTTGTGACTGGCTTCTTTCACTCAGTATAATGTGTTCCAAGGTCATCCATGTGGTACCATGTATTGGTATTTCATTCCTTTTTAAGGCTGAATAAATATTCCATTGCATAGGCATACCACATTTTACTTATCCATTCATTTGTTGGTGTGCAATTTAATTTTGTTTTAGAAAGGGATCTGAGGTGTGGCAGCGTGTTCGCATGTGTTAAGTCAGAGTACTGAGAACATAGACATTTGTTGTTTCTTTACGTTCTTCTGGATGTTTGAAAAGTTTCATCTTTTTTAATGCTAATAAATATATTTTAAAAATACATACCAGAGAATGAGTCCCCAACCATTGAAGGGAGATAATCGTTGTTGACGCACGAAAGGAAGGGGCAGGTCTAATATTAAGGAAAACAAGAAGGTTCCAGAGCCTTCTTTCCCAGAGTCCTGTTTCCCTGTGACCCTGTGACCGGGACAGAGGTGCTACTGGACAGCCTTGGACATAAGCCCTGCGAGGACAGAGATCACATCTGTGGTGTTCTCAGCTGCCTTCCTAGCAGGGACCTGCTCGGGTCCGAGCTCAGAGCGAGTGTGGACTGCTTCCTGAGAGCAGTGGGCCAGCCACTATCAGAAGGAGCCCCCCACGCTCCCTTGGGCCCTGCCTGGGCCAGAGTCTCAGCCCCTCCCCCTACTCGGAGGCTCACCCCGACCAGGCTTCAGTAACCTGCTTCATGCACTGATGAGGAGCTCCCTGCCTTACCAAGTAGCCCTCCCTCTGCCAACCACCAGGGATGGGAGCCCCCGGATGTCCCTCCAGTAGAGAGGCAGTCCAGTGGCATGGCCCAACGTAAAGGTCTCGGAGGTCAAATATGTTTGGGAGCCACGCATGATATGACTCATCACTGCTGCTCATCAAGTGCTGAATGTGTGCCAGGCAGCAGCTCTGGGCTTCAGGCCGAGCTGTAGCCTCCCAGCAGCTCTGAGAGGAGGACCATAATTACCCCATCTGAAAGATGGGGCGCAGGGGGCAAAGCCCTGGCCAGAGGTCCCATGGCTGGGAAGGAGCACAGTTGAGACTCAAGTTTATTCTATCCCCACGCCCTCCTTGTTAACTCACAGCACCAGCAGATCTAAGGCCCTGGGATTCCCCATCTTAGCTGATCATGGGGTCCCAGCTCCCCTAATCCATGGGAGCAGCCTACAGGGCCCATCTGGGGCAGTGCAGCTCTGGGCTCCCAGGCCCTGCTTGTTTATGGAAGCTTTTTCCGGGCATTTGTGGCAGGCGTGAAGCAAAGCCGACTATGTTCTCCTGAGCCTGTTGGAATTTCATCCTGTGTGTATTTCATGGCAGGAAAATCTACATATTCGCACACAGTGATGCCTTAACTGGCAAGACTTGCGCCATGATGGTGAAATTTTAGGCGTGGTGGCTGAAATGCAGCCCTAGTTCTAGAGGAGAGGAACTGGGACCCTCCTGTGGGTTGGAAGTGGAGGTAGAGGAGGTCATGCTCACCCCAGTCTAAGGAAAGGCCCCGCCCCGCCCCACCCCCACCTGCTGAGCCCAGAAAGGAGGCCAGCAGGTCCCATCCTTCAGGGAGAAGGTACAGTAGTGTTTCTCTGGAATGACTTTAGGGGAAGCCAAGAAGGGGATGGGAGGGAAGGCAGACCCAGTCTCCTCCCACAAGACTGGCATTCTTTCCTTGAAACCTTGCAAAATAAGACTGTGTAGCCTCCCTGCTGGGGCCCGGCACTCCGAGGCATCACTGAAATTCTGGGAAGGCCAGGCACCCGGCTGCCTGTGACCCAAATGTTCAGCCCCTATTGCCCTGAGCCACATGTGGCTGAGCTGATGGGCTCCTCCTACTTCAGCGGAGTCCCAAGAATGTTGCCATCTGGCTACTCACGGCCTTATGAGCTCAGCCTTTCTCAGGATTGCTGAACAAAGGGCACGGGCAATTTTAGGACTCCCAGGGATTCTGGGAATTTTCTGCGCCCCCCCCCC